AATCATTACCATTGCAAAACACTATACAGTGTGTGTTTGGGACTATTACCATTGAAGACCATTTGAGACCATAACATTGAAACCATTAGAACTGCTGTAGGCTAATGGTTTGCTTGTTCACCAGGAATGGTCTAACAGTAGCTAATCCAGACCTTTTTTGAAGATAATAAACCACACAAATAGGGTCCGTTTCCTGGACACAGATTAAGCGTAAAAGAAGGACAAACTGATTTGCTTTCATGGAGGACTGGCTTGAACACAATTTATTTTCGTCATGAGCCAAATCTATTGCTTTTCTACCCAAAGATGCAAAGGAAATGTTATCTATTTAATAAACACAAGAGAGCAGCAAAATGGATAAGAGTGTGACAGTATAGCAGGAACCTGGTACTTTCACACTACTTTATGGTAAAGAATGCAAGCAACTTCAATTACTATTTTCTCTGAACAACTATTTTCTCACCAAATTCACTGAGAATACATTACATACGATGAAGAAACAATACCCCGAGCCGCAGCTCTATCCTACTTGTCAGACATAGAGAACTGATACTATATACTGGTTGTTGGTGTGGGATTGGCATTGGGGTGTGGGGGGCCGTGGGTGGCTTTTGAACTGCTTTTTTTTTTCCATCTCTTAATTACTCATTGTTAAAAAAAAGTTTGGTCCAAATTGGATGGTAGGTACTATATTTATTGAATATTATGTGAATTCTATAAATTCTAATGGCCAATTTGGGTGCAATCAATTAGCTTAATTTATCAGAGATCAAATTATATTTCAACAAAATAATGTTGCCGTAATGCTAATCTTATCTGTTTCTAAGTACAGAAACGATTTCAGAACAATCTGAGATGGTGGCTGTCATGGTTTGCTGAAATGACATGGAACAACCTCTGTGTCAGTTGGTATAATATAAATATATAATATAATAATAATAATGTATAATATAACAATATGCCATTTAGCAGATGCTTTTTTCCAAAGCGACTTACAGTCATGTGTGCATACATTTTTACGTATGGGTGGTCCCGGGGATCGAACCCACTACCCTGGCGTTACAAGCGCCATGCTCTATCTACCAATTGAGCTACAGAGTTGGTCTGTGTCAACGTCATAGGCTGCAAGTTTAGAAGTCATGAATGCATGACCATTGATCAGAGTACAGTATGAGTTCTCCTTTGAAAGGTCATGGGTTAGTCTAGCCTTGGTCTAGCTTCCCGCGCAACCTAGAAAAACATATTCAGGGAAGAGTGTGAGAGACAGGAAGATTCTACTTCCCTATGCTCAACTAGGCCTATAGTCTCCCTTAAGATCAATTAATTTTTCTGGAGCAAAATCTCTTGGGAGGAAATCTAGTTCAAATCTTGCCTGCAGTTACAATCAGGATAGGAACTTTGCTCAGTGTCATTTGTTATCCATTACCCAATCCTAGTTGTGAATAGGGCTGTTGCGGTGATGTATTTGTATTTCCGCCACATCGGCAGTCATGGGTCATGACCGCAGTAAAATTCCATGTGACCGTTGAGTCACGGTAATCCCCTTTTATGCACTCTGGACATGCTTTGGTAGTACCCAACTTGCTAATGACCATCAGTTCCTAATTGCCTGATACTCAGGGCTCTATTGTCACTCTGACATCAATGTGATAATCAAATTGAAGAAAGAAGTTCAATATCAGGTTAAAACTGTGTAAAACATGGTTGTTATGGATGTTGTTTCAAACCCTAACACAACGAAATGGACAGCGCTTTCCACAGTGATGATTAATTCAAAGCATCCATACGCATATTAGAGCTTATGCTTATGCATAGGCTTATGAGCCCAAGGCCTCCCAAAAAACAATAACCCTGAATTAAAATGATGATTGTGCCCTTATACAATACATAGCCTACCGCATATTATGCAAGGCAGAAAAACAAAATAAAACAGATTTGAGATGTATTTGGTACATAATTGGTCTAGGCTATTCTCCAAAATTAAACAAATTTGAGTAATCGACTTTGAGTGTGGACTGTATTGTTCTGCATACTGGATGGACTGGTTACCTTATGCTACGCTCCAACATTTCTATCCTTGAGTCTGGGAGAGAACGTATAGGCCTAGGCGATGCTGTTGGTTCATTGATTGTGCAGGGTGGCTTACAGTTAGCCTACAATTAGTGAATTTGTATTTGATTTTGAATAGCCTAGTAATAGGGAATTTTTAATATTTTCTATTAATACGACAGTAAATACAAAACTTGTTTAGTTTATCTTCTTAGGTGTGTCTGTCTATGGCAGGGGATAAGAAGTATGCAAAAGTGTATGTGCTAAACCACCACAATGAATGAATTAAACTTTTGTCTCCAAGTAAATCTCTAACGACACCGTACACAAATGAGCATCGAAATGCAGTAACATGCCGTTCGTAATGTTACCACTAGGTGTCAGCATTTTGTCTTGAGTTGACTACAGTGTTTACAACAGTCAAAGGTCATGTAAAGAAACACTTTATGGCAACCTCACAATGACATTAAGTTATGACGAGCACAAGGTAGCTGTTCATTAAGACAATGTTTTCTTACAGAACCCATATGTAAATTACACTGTTATTCAATACAAAATGTATTGGCTATACATTTCAACTACAAATGGCATGCGCTGTGATGACTGAAAACGTTTATGCAGGAAAATACTTCCCACACTGGTTTTAGTCACACACGTTCTAATTTAGCTAGCTAACGGTAGCTTCTTATCTCATCATGAACGTAAGCACATGGCCTGAATGATAGATCTACGTCAATTGTCTTGCTTTTTGCAGACTAGTTAGCCAGCTAACGTTAACTAAGTGAGAATGTGATGAGGACAGGGCTGCTTGCTTGGTGAAGTGTACATTGGAATATTTACTTACGATGGCTGTGGCAAGCTACTCACTATCAAACCACCATGCCTACTCTCTCTCATGTTGTGACCTAGGGCTGAATGATGTTCATTGATAAGCTCGTAGATCGCCCTCTTCAGGCAACCATTGAACATTTCTAAAAATGACCGCAAATTAGCAGATGTATTTGTTTATTCTATGTATATAATATCAGCGCTTTATCTGTGGAATAAAGACCGATACAAATATTTCTGTGAAAGGCTGATATCGGCCGATTAATATTGGTCAACCAATGTATCGATTCGGCTCTAATTAGAAATACATCAAAACACAATGTTGAAGTAAAGGCCCCTGCCAACTAATACTGTATCAACATTTATATTTAGTTTTGCAGAAACAAATATTGAGTGGTGTCTTGTCATACTCTTACCAAAAACACACATCTTTAAGATATTTTCTAATTCCTCTCCCTCATGAGGAGGGAGGATTATGAAAGTTCAAAGAAGTAACAAGTAAAGGTAGACCTACCAATTAGTTAGTGTTTTTACTGATAACAATTTTGTTTATGAATTACTAACTGATTAAAATGCATCACTCTGTTACCAAATCGGTGACTGAAAAATCTGTAACAGAATGACTGCAATTAAATTGGCTACAATGGGAAATCATAGTAGTCACAACCTACAGTTGCAGTATAGCACAGTACAGTAGAGTACATTACAGTAGAGCACAGAATAGTACAGTACAATAGAGCACAGTAGAGTACAGTAAAGAAAAGTAGAGTACAGTAGAGCACACGAGTAGAGTACAGTATAATGTAATATACTCTACTGTACTGAACTATACTCTACTTTTCTTTACTGTACTCTGCTGTGCTCTACTGTACTATACTGTGCTCTACTGCAGGGGTCGCGTTAACGCAGAATTCTGAGTTTTTCAAGCAGAAAAAATCCTGGGTAGAGCACAGTTGCAGTCTGAGAACGCAGGTGTATTGACCATGAGCCATTCCATTTCAAGTTCCAACTTTTTATATTTAAATAGACTCGTTCCAAAACGTCTCATCCATCCTCCAAACCACTCGCTCTCTGCCCGTCTGCGGGGATGGTGTGGGAGATGAGGAAGTAAGAGGCTAAGAGCATATTTTATGCTGACAATTTTATGTGGCCGTTTTCACACTAGTTTGTTTGCTAAGGTTCGAAGCAAAGTTCGATTATTCGTTACATTGTGGTTACAACGAAGAATGAAAAAGAATGAAATCAAATATATCATATTCATAATGAATTGATCAGATGCGTGTCGCGAGCTTGCCATTTTTCCTACGCACTTATAGCATTCGTATTTCAACAAAGTTGAGTACAAGCATATGGAGGCTATAATATTGTTCAGATTAATGATTATTGTATGTGATTATAATGACATAGTTCTTTACCCTAAGTTTTCACATAGCACCCTCTTGAACTGACCTGTATTTTCCTGCATTCTAAAACACTGTGTGGACCCATGTATTTATTGTCTGTTTGTTTAATTAGAGGGCAGGTGAAATCTATTAAAATGCAGATTTATGGAGGGTCTGCGTTTTGAAAATGCAGACTTTTGAAAGCTAACGCAAACCCTGGTGTGTGTGTTTAATTATTATACTTTTTTTACCTAGTGTGCAGTCCAATCCACAAGGTGGCGCAGCGCCCCTCTTACATTCTTTCGGGAGAACCCTGGTCTGATGGAGAAAGTAGGCTATAAGATTACACTGCAGACCTAATTTGACTATTATTCCAAGGAGATTAGAGCCATGTAGCCTAAATTCATTGCTGGGTGGTCTAACAAAGTGGTACATTACTAATGTGTTTCATTTTTTAAATGCATTTGAGCTTTGTCTAGCCCTCCCTCCCTCTCCACCATGCCTGTCTTCATCTCTAAAGTGTTTTCTGTTCTCTCACTACAGGTGAGCTGACTCTTCAACCGAGCTGTGTCTGTCAGTCCATCCATCAAGCGGATCTACCAGAGGAACCACCTGTGAATGAGAAGGAACACAACCAGGTTTCGAAGGAAGTGTTGGGGTGTATCCCTCACCCTTCCACCCCCTGCCCCACCCACCTCAACTCAGACTCCACCCTGTGACCCTTGACCCCTGACATCCAAGATGAAACTAAAAGAGGACATGAACCCGCTGCTGCTGCAGGTCTTCCGCTCGGTTGTCTGGGTCTACTCTGTCATCACCTTCCTGCCCTGGTACCTGCTCTCGGGCGCTGGAGCCAACCTAGACCGGGCACGGCGGGTCAAGGCACGGTCAGTGAGCGGTCGTCCGGCGGGCCCTTACCGGGCGACCAACCGTGAGGATGGTAGCCAGCTGAAGCTGGTGTCTTCCTTGCACCCAGGAGTGGACACCCTGGACAAGGTGATGGAGCACGGGGCGGCCAGGTTCCCAGAGAGGAACTGCCTGGGCACGAGAGAGGTGCTGAGCGAGGAGGACGAGCTCCAACCCAACGGGAAGGTCTTCAAGAAGGTGAGGAAGAGGGTGAAAAGTGGATTTAAACATCTTTCTTGATATATGTTGTGTTTATGTTGTGCATAAGAAAAGCCTTTTCGCTACGGTTGTAGTAGAAGGACATTAGATGGCACTGTCTGATCATGTTTGAAGGCAGCTGAGGGTGTATGACTTTTATAGGTAATTCTGGGGTAATAATGCTGTCGTACAAGGAGACCTACCAGACATCGGTGTGTGACAGTTTAGTATTGTGTACTTCTAGTATTAACAGTGGTGTTTTTATTTGTTTATATATTTTTTGGGGTCAGCTATGAAACTAGCAGACAGACTAGTCTATAAAATAACATTAATTGCATAATTTCTGATCCCTTTTTTGCCCCTACCATCACTACCCTGGTCGGAGGACCTGGTGGAAAAACATTACAATTCAATATTTACAGTGCCTTCAGAAAGTATTCACACCCCTTGACTTTTTCCACATTTTGTTGTGTTACAGCCGGAATTAAATTTGACATTTTGTGTCACTGGCCTACACACAATACCCATAATGCCTCGCAAGGAAGGGCACCTATTGGTAAATGGCAAAAAACAACAATATTGAATATCCCTTTGAGCATTGTGAAGTTATTAATTACACTTTGGATGGTGTATCAATACACCCAGTCACTACAAAGATACAGGCATCCTTCCTAACTCAGTTGCTGGAGAGGAAGGAAACCGCTCAGGGATTTCACCATGAGGCCAATGGTGACATTAAAACAGTTACAGAGTTTAATGGCTGTGATAGGAGAAAACTGAGGATGGATCAACAACGTTGTAGGTACTCCACAATACTAACCTAAACGACAGAGTGAAAAGAAGGAAGCCTCTACACCAGGGGTGTCAAACTCATTTTAGCTCAGGGGCCACATGGAGGAAAATCTATTCCCAAGTGGGCCGGACCGGAAAAATCATGTTATATATATAACTTAAAAACAACAACTTCAGATTGTTTTCTTTGTTTTAATACGATCAACATACAACATAAAGCTGGAGCCTGAGGACAGTGTGTCCAAAATAGTACAAGCACAACATCACTATTAATCATAAAACACGTCAAGTTTATTTGAAAATTCTAAAGAAAAAGAACACACAAACACACAATGCCTCAGTGATTAACAGAACTGTTTCACAGATCACAGAACTATATCAGGGGGTCATTTCTCAGGCAGAAATTTAGATAAAAAGAATGAAATCCTGTTCCCCAAACAAGTGCAAGAACCACAGAGTCAAGAATAGGTTAAATATACAAATAAAATAAAATCAATTAAAAACAATAGCACATCAACATAAAAACATATAAACATAAAGCTGGAGCCTGAGGACAGTGTGTCCAAAAGCACAACATCACTATTTAATCATAAAACACCTCAAGTTATTTGAAAGTTCTGAGGACAAAGAACACACAAACACACAATGCCTCAGTGATTCACAGAAGTATATCACAGATCACAGAACTATATCAGGGTGTCTCATGTAGCACTTTAAGTGGGGTTGCATAGTTTATTTGACTCCTGATACCTGGCATCTTTTAGCTTTTTAGTAACAGTCCCGTTATTTTATCTTTGAACCGCTTCATGTCTGCCACATGTTGGGTCGCGCACACATTTTTCAGACAGGGGAAGTGAGCTGCATCACCACCGGCAAGTTGCGTCTCCCACAATGACAGCTTCAACTTGAAAGAACGTATGCTGTCATAATACTGCGTGACAACTTTGTTGCACCCTTGCAGCTGTTTGTTCAAGTTATTCAGGTGCTCTGTAACATCCACCATAAATGCAAGGTCCTGCATCCATTCTGCGGAATGGAATTCTAACACTGTTCAATTTCTTCTCGTAAATCAAAGAAACGCCTCAGCACCTCGGCTTAACCATCTTACCTCAGTGTGGTATGGCAGGCCATAGATGTGGTCTTTCTCTCTGAGAAGGCTGTCAAACTGACGGTGATTCAGGCTTCTGGATCGGATGAAATTAACAGTTTGGATGACCACCTTCATGACGTTATCCATCTTTAATGACTTGCAACACAAAGCCTCCTGGTGCAAAATACAGTGAAAAGTCAAAAAATCACGTCCTCCATTTGCAGATTGCACTTTCTCTCTGAACTTTGTCACAACGCCTGCTTTTTTCCTGATCATTGAGGGCGCACCATCTGTAGCCAGGCTGACAGCGCGGGACCAGTCCACTCCGACCTTGTCCAGCGCGCCGACGAGTGCGGTAAAAATATCAGCTGCTGTCGTTGTATCTGTCATCGGCACCAACTCCACGAACTCCTCGGTGACGGTCAATGTGTCATCAACTCCGCGGATGAAAATGGCCAGTTGTGCAACATCTGTAATGTCCATGCTTTCATCAATTGCAACCGAAAACGCAATAAATGACTTTTCTTTTTGCTTCAACTGGCTGTCCAAATCCACTGAAAGATCGGAAATCCTGTCTGCAACTGTGTTTCTTGTCAGGCTGATATTTACAAAAGCCTGACGCTTTTCAGGGCACACAATCTTAGCTGCCTTCATCATGCATGTTTTTACAAATTCACCCTCACTAAATGGTTTTGAAGCCACTGCGATTTCATTAGCAATGAGGTAGCTAGCTTTCACTGCAGCGTCACTGATGTCTCGGCTGTGAGTAAACACAGACTTGACCTACTTGCTCTGCCCCGGTATAAACAGTTTGCTTGCTTAACATAATTGCTATTGCGCCATCCAGTGGACGCAATTGGAACAGCAGTTTATTTTATTGAAAAATTGCAGCGCATTTTTATACTTTACAAAATCATCTCGCGGGCCGGATTAAACCCGTTTGCGGGCCTGATTCGGCCCGCGGGCCGGACGTTTGACACCCCTGCTCTACACAATACAAATATTCCAAAACATGCATCCTGTTTGCAATAAAGCACTAAAGTAAAATAGCAAAAAATATGGCAAAGAAATTAACTTCATGTCCTCAATACAAAGCGTTCCAACACAACACATCACTGAGGACCACTCTTCAGATTTTCAAGCATGGTGGTGGCTGCATCATGTTATGGGTATGCTTGTCATCGGCAAGGACTAGGGAGTTTTTATAGGATAAAATTTAACTGAATAGAGCTAAGCGCAGTCAAAATCCTAGAGGAAAACCTGGTTGTCTGCTTTCCAACAGACACTGGGAGACAAATTCACCTTTCAGCAGGACAATAACCTAAAACACAAGGCCAAATATACACTGGAGTTCCTTACCAAGACGACATTGAATGTTCCTGAGTGGCCTAGTTACAGTTTTGACCTAAATCGTCTTGAATCTATGGCATGACTAGAAAATGGCTGTCAACCAATGATCAGCAACCAACTTCACAGAGCTTGAAACATTTTAAAAATAATAATGTGCAAATATTGTACAATCAAGGTGTGCAAAGCTCTTGGACACTTACCCAGAAAGACTCACAGTTGTCATCGCTGCCAAAGGTGATTCTAACATGTATTGACTCAGGGGGTTGAATACTTATGTAAGCAAGATATATTAGTGTTGTATTTGCTCCCAAGTCTGATTCATCCTTGGGAGCAATTTCCAAACGCCAGAAGGTACCACGTTCATCTGTACAAACAATAGTACGCAAGTATAAACACCATGGGACCACGCAGCCGTCATACCGCTCAGGAAGGAGACGTGTTCTGTCTCCTAGAGATGAACGTACTTTGGTGCGAAAAGTGCAAATCATTCCCAGAACAACAGCAAAGGACCTTGTAAAGATGCTGGAGGAAACAGGTACAAAAGTATCTATATCCACAGTAAAACGAGTCCTATATTGACATAACCTGAAATGCCGCTCAGCAAGGAAGAAGCCACTGCTCCAAAACCGCCATAAAAAAGCCAGACTATGGTTTGCAACTGGACATGGGGACAAAGATCGTACCTTTTGGAGAAATGTCCTCTGGTCTGATGAAACAAAAATAGAACTGTTTGGCCATAATGACCATCATTATGTTTGGAGGAAAAAGGGGGTTACTTGCAAGCCGAAGAACACCATCCCAACCGTGAAGCACGAGGGTGGCAGCATCATGCTGTGGGGGTGCTTTGCTGCAGGAGGGACTGGTGCACTTCACAAAATAGATGGCATCATGAGGAAGGAAAATTATGTGGATATATTGAAGCAACATCTCAAGACATCAGTCAGGAAGTTAAAGCTTGGTCGCAAATGGGCCTTCCAAATGAACAATGACCCCAAGCATACTTCCAAAGTTGTGGCAAAATGGCTTAAGGACAACAAAGTCAAGGTATTGGAGTGGCCATCACAAAGCCCTGAACTCAATCCTATAGAACATTTGGGGGCAGACCTGAAAAAGCGTGTGTGAGCAAGAAGGCCTACAAACCTGACTCAGTTACATCAGCTCTGTCAGGAGGAATGGGCCAAAATTCACCCAACTTATTGTGGGAAGCTTGTGGAAGGCTAACCGAAACGTTTGACCCAAGTTAAACAATTTAAAGGCAATGCTACCAAATACTAATTGAGTGTATGTAAACTTCTGACCCACTGGGAATGTGATTAAATAAATAAAAGCTGAAATAAATCATTCTCTCTACAATTATTCTGACATTTCACATTCTTAAAATAAAGTGGTGATTCTAACTGACTTAAGACAGGGAATTTTTACTAGGATTAAATGTCAGGAATTGTGAAAAACTGAGTTTAAATGTATTTGGCTAAGGTGTATGTAAACTTCCGACTTCAACTGTGTGTATGTATGTATGTACAGTGGGGCAAAAAAGTATTTAGTCAGCCACCAATTGTGCAAGTTCTCCCACTTAAAAATATGAGAGAGGCCTGTAATTTTCATCATAGGTACACGTCAACTATGACAGACAAATTGAGTTAAAAAAATCCAGAAAATCACATTGTAGGATTTTTAATGAATTTCTTTGCAAATTATGGTGGAAAATAAGTATTTGGTCACCTACAAACAAGCAAGATTTCTGGCTCTCACAGACCTGTAACTTCTTTTTTAAGAGGCTCCTCTGTCCTCCACTCGTTACGTCGCTCTGGATAAGAGCGTCTGCTAAATGACTAAAATGTAAATGTAAATGTAATTAATGGCACCTGTTTGAACTTGTTATCAGTATAAAAGACACCTGTCCACAACCTCAAACAGTCACACTCCAAACTCCACTATGGCCAAGACCAAAGAGCTGTCAAAGGACACCAGAAACAAAATTGTAGACCTGCACCAGGCTGGGAAGACTGAATCTGCAATAGGTAAGCAGCTTGGTTTGAAGAAATCAACTGTGGGAGCAATTATTAGGAAATGGAAGACATACAAGACCACTGATAATCTCCCTCGATCTGGGGCTCCACGCAAGATCTCACCCCGTGGGGTCAAAATGATCACAAGAACGGTGAGCAAAAATACCAGAACCACACGGGGGGACCTAGTGAATGACCTGCAGAGAGCTGGGACCAAAGTAACAAAGCCTACCGTCAGTAACACACTACGCTGCCAGGGACTCAAATCCTGCAGTGCCAGACGTGTCCCCCTGCTTAAGCCAGTACATGTCCAGGCCCATCTGAAGTTTGCTAGAGTGCATTTGGTTGATCCAGAAGAGGATTGGGAGAATGTCATATGGTCAGATGAAACCAAAATAGAACTTTTTGGTAAAAACTCAACTCGTCGTGTTTGGAGGACAAAGAATGCTGAGTTACATCCAAAGAACACCATACCTACTGTGAAGCATGGGGGTGGAAACATCATGCTTTGGGGCTGTTTTTCTGCAAAGGGACCAGGACGACTGATCCGTGTAAAGGAAAGAATGAATGGGGCCATGTATCGTGAGATTTTGAGTGAAATCCTCCTTCCATCAGCAAGGGCATTGAAGATGAAACGTGGCTGGGTCTTTCAGCATGACAATGATCCCAAACACACCGCCCGGGCAACAAAGGAGTGGCTTCGTAAGAAGCATTTCAAGGTCCTGGAGTGGCCTAGCCAGTCTCCAGATCTCAACCCCATAGAAAATCTTTGGAGGGAGTTGAAAGTCCGTGTTGCCCAGCGACAGCCCCAAAACATCACTGCTCTAGAGGAGATCTGCATGGAGGAATGGGCCAAAATACCAGCAACAGTGTGTGAAAACCTTGTGAAGACTTACAGAAAACGTTTGACCTGTGTCATTGCCAACAAAGGGTATATAACAAAGTATTGAGAAACTTTTGTTATTGACCAAATAATTATTTGCAAATAAATTCATAAAAAATCCTACAATGTGATTTTCTGGATTTTTTTTCCTCATTTTGTCTGTCATAGTTGACGTGTACCTATGATGAAAATTACTGGCCTCTCTCATCTTTTTAAGTGGGAGAACTTGCACAATTGGTGGCTGACTAAATACTTTTTTTCCCCACTGTATGTATGTGTATATATATATATATATATATATATATATATATATATATATATATATATATATATATATATATATATATATATTTGTATTTATTTTTTAATTACAAATGTTAGAATTTTTCTTCCACTTTGACGTTACATAGTTTTGTGTAGATCGTTGACAAAAAACTAAAATTAAATCCATTTTAATCCCCCCTTGTAACACAACAAAATGTGGAAAAAGTCAAGGGGTGTGAACCTTCTGAAGGCACTCTATTTTTAGGGCTGACCCCATTCAGTCCATTTTTCAGTCGATAGGCTGTTGGTCGACCGAGATTTCTTTAGTTTCGTTTTTTTTATGGTGCACAAGACACCTGTCTGTTTCACTCCTGCCTCAGTGGAATAATCCATTGCGGATGGCACAATCCATCACTCTAAGACATGTGCTACTGAAATTGTGTATGGTTATATTATGTAAGAATAATGATGCAACACTAATAAATATAATATTATTTTATAACAAATGCACTTTCTCCCACGTTGAATAGCGGTTGCTGTCCGTGGTTCTGAAACATAATCTTCAGTGCGCCGTTGAATTGGCGTCTTTCCCTATATGTTGCTATGTGCATAATAGCGAAGTTATCCAGCATATTGGTGTTGAGAACAATGCGACGGAGGCAGCAGCGGCGTGAGGAGACGAGGAAACAACCCTTGCCTTAATTGTCTAAGAAAATTGAGGAGAGAGGAAACCCCAACTTAATTAGGTATATAATCAATAGCCTAACTGTTTAATGTGCCTGGCTTTATAAATTATCCATATATACATTATATATACAAAAGTATGTGGACACCCCTTCAAATTAGTGGATTTGGCTATTTCAGCCACACCTGTTGCTGACAGGTGTATAAAATCGAGCATACATCCATGCAATCTCCATAGACAAACATTGGCAGTAGAATGGCCTTACTGAAGAGCTCAGTAACTTTCAACGTGGCACCGTCATAGGATGCCGCCTTTCCAACTTTCCAACACGTTTGTCAAATTTCTGCTCTGCTAGAGCTGCCCCGGTCAACTGTAAGTGCTGTTATTGTGAAGTGGAAACGTCTAGGATCAACAACGGCTCAGCCGCGAAGTGGTAGGCCAAGTGCTGAAGCGCGTAGGGCATAAAAATAATTTGTCCTCGGTTGTAACATTCACTACCGAGTTCCAAACTGCCTCTGGAAGCAACGTCAGCACAATAACTGTTAGTCGGGAGCTTCATGAGATTGGTTTCTATGGCCGAGCAGCCGCACACAAACCTAAGATCATCATGCGCAATGCCAAGCGTCGGCTGGAAGCTTGCCGCTATTGGACTCTGGAGTGATGAATCACGCTTCACCATCTGGCAGTCCGATGGACAAATCTGGGTTTGGTGGATGCCAGGAGAACGCTACCTGCTCTAATGCATAGTGCCAACTGTAAAGTTTGGTGGAGGAGGAATAGTGGTCTGGGGCTGTTTTTCATGGTTCAGGCTAGGCCCCTTAGTTCTAGTGAAGGGAAATCTTAATGCTACAGCATACAATGACGTTCTAGACAATTCTGTGCTTCCAACATTTTGGCAACAGTTTGGTGAAGGCCCTTTCCTGTTTCAGCATGACAATGCCCCCGTGCACTAGGCAAGGTCCATACAGAAATGGTTTGTCGAGATCGGTGTGGAAGAACTTGACTGGTCTGCACGGAGTCCTGACCTCAACCCCATCGAACACCTTTTGCAATGAATTGGAACGCCGACTGCGAGCCAGGCCTAATCGCCCAACATCTGTGTCCGACCTCACTAATGCTCTTGTGGCTGAATGGAAGCAAGTCCCCGCAGCAATGTTCCAACATCTAGTGGAAAGCCTTTTCAGAAGAGTGGAGGCTGTTATAGCAGCAAAGGGGGGACCAACTCCATATTAATGCCCATGATTTTGGAATGAGATGTTCGACGAGCAGGTGTCCACATACTTGTAGTGTATCTACAGAAATAAGACATTTCCTGCTTCTGTTGCCTGGTTGAGTGTATGTTTAATAGCCTACTGATTCTGTTAGCACCAATCTTTGCTATGATGCAGCATCAATCTTATTTAATTTTTTGGTATCATTGCTATTATGTAATAAAGGCTTTACATGTTTTTTTAGTTAGAACATACTCTCTGGTATTACTTATAATTTATTTAGTGTTGTTTATATTGTTCCAAATGGCCCGAAAATAATAATATTGTAATCTAACAGCACCTGTTTGGCACACATAGGCCTAATACTCACTCAGCGCTGGCTATACCCTCCTTTTTCTTGATCTCCGTAGTTTCCACAACTAAGTCACGTCTTCCATACATTTAACTTCCCCTTTCCCTCCTGAGCAACCAGTAAACATTCCCATATTTCGAGTTTCTTTTTCAAGTCCTCCGCATCCATTTTGCTGTCACGTGTTACGGTGTTCAGAGTTTGTTATAACCAATTTATTGATGTGATTATGATAGGCTATAGGTCAGGCCCTATTGGTCACATGCATGTGATGCATACATGTTTCACGTAAAGAGAGCAAAGGTGGAGGGAATAGGGAATGTTTCTCCTAAACAAATGAGGGATTCCGATAACGGAACCTTTCAGTCAGAGAAACAAGTAAGAAACTAAATGGCTGTAATTATGTTGCAGCGCGTAATTATGTTGCAGCACGGACAGCGCGATAAACACCTGCTGTGCTGTGGTGCCTGTTCACTGCAGCAGGGAGGAGAGAGAGACATTGTTTCTCAGTCACACAGGCACTCGCTGTCATTGTATTTTTTAACACCGCGTGGCCATCAGGCTCCCTCTTGAGTCAATAGTGTGTCTTAATTATTTATTCAAACAGTGCGCTTAAAGCATCAGACAAGCTCAGTGCATATAGTTGATTTCAAACACATACAGTGAGGGAAAAAAGTATTTGATCCCCTGCTGATTTTGTACGTTTGCCCACTGACAAAGTCATGATCAGTCTATAAATTTAATGGTAGGTTTATTTGAACAGTGAGAGACAGAATAACAACAAAAAAATCCAGAAAAACACATGTCAAAAATGTTATAAATTGATTTGCATGTTAATGAGGGAAATAAGTATTTGACCCCTCTGCAAAACATGACTTAGTACTTGTTGGCAAAACCTTTGTTGCCAATCACAGAGGTCAAACGTTTCTTGTAGTTGGCCACCAGGTTTGCACACATCTCAGGAGGGATTTTGTCCCACTCCTCTTTGCAGATCTTCTCCAAGTCATTAAGGTTTCGAGGCTGACGTTTGGCAACTCGAACCTTCAGCTCCCTCCACAGATTTTCTATGGGATTAAGGTCTGGAGACTGGCTAGGCCACTCCAGGACCTTAATGTGCTTCTTCTTGAGCCACTCCTTTGTTGCCTTGGCCATGTGTTTTGGGTCATTGTCATGCTGGAATACCCATCCACGACCCATTTTCAATGCCCTGGCTGAGGGAAGGACGTTCTCACCCAAGATTTGACGGTACATAGCCCCGTCCATCGTCCCTTTGATGCGGTGAAGTTGTCCTGTCCCCTTAGCAGAAAAACACCCCCAAAGCATAATGTTTCCACCTCCATGTTTGACGGTGGGGATGGTGTTCTTGGGGTCAGAGGCAGCATTCCTCCTCCTCCAAACACGGCGAGTTGAGTTGATGCCAAAGAGCTCCATTTTGGTCTCATCTGACCACAACACTTTCACCCAGTTCTCCTCTGAATCATTCAGATGTTCATTGGCAAACTTCAGACGGGCCTGTATATGTGCTTTCTTGAGCAGGGGGACCTTGCGGGCGCTGCAGGATTTCAGTCCTTCACAGCGTAGTGTGTTACCAATTGTTTTCTTGGTGACTATGGTCCCAGCTGCCTTCAGATCATTGACAAGATCCTCCCGTGTAGTTCTGGTCTGATTCCTCACCGTTCTCATGATCATTGCAACTCCACGAGGTGAGATCTTGCATGGAGCCCCAGGCCGAGGGAGATTGACAGTTATTTTGTGTTTCTTCCATTTGCGAATAACCGCACCAACTGTTGTCACCTTCTCACCAAGCTGCTTGGCGATGGTCTTGTAGCCCATTCCAGCCTTGTGTAGGTCTACAATCTTGTCCCTGACATCCTTGGAGAGCTCTTTGGTCTTGGCCATGGTGTAGAGTTTGGAATCTGATTGATTGATTGCTTCTGTGGACAGGTGTCTTTTATACAGGTAACAATTTTTTAAATATTTTTTAGTTATTTAACCTTTATTTAACCAGGTAAGCCAGTTGAGAACAAGTTCTTATTTACAACTGCGACCTGGCCAAGATAAAGCAAAGCAGTGCGATAAAAACAACAACACAGAGTTACATATGGGGTAAAACAAAACATAAAGTCAAAAATACAACAGAAAATATATATACAGTGTGTGCAAATGTAGCAAGTTATGGAGGTAAGGCAATAAATAGGCTATAGTGCAAAATAATTACAATTAGTATTAACACTGGAATAATAGATGTGCAAGAGATTATGTGCAAATAGAGATACTGGGGTGAAAATAAGCAAAATAAATAACAATATAGGGATGAGGTAGTTGGGTGGGCTAATTTCAGATGGGCTGTGTACAGGTGCAGTGATCGGTAAGGTGCTCTGACAACTGATGCTTAAAGTTAGTGAGGGAGAGAAGAGTCTCCAGCTTCAGAGATTTTTGCAATTCGTTCCAGTCATTGGCAGCAGAGAACTGGAAGGAATGGCGGCCAAAGGAGGTGTTGGCTTTGGGGATGACCAGTGATATATTCCTGCTGGAGCGCATACTACGGGTGGGTGTTGCTATGGTGACCAATGAGCTAAGATAAGGCGGGGATTTGCCTAGCAGTGATTTATAGATGGCCTGGAGCCAGTGGGTTTGACGACGAACATGTAATGAGGACCAGCCAACAAGAGCGTACAGGTCACAGTGGTGGGTAGTGTATGGGTCTTTGGAGACAAAACGGATAGCACTGTGATAGACTACATCCAATTTGCTGAGTAGAGTGTTGGAGGCTATTTTGTAAATGACATCGCCGAAGTCAAGGATCGGTAGGATAGTCAGTTTTACGAGGGAATGTTTGGCAGCATGAGTGAAGGAGGCTTTGTTACGAAATAGGAAGCCGATTCTGGATTTAACTTTGGATTGGAGATTCTTAATGTGAGTCTGGAAGGAGAGTTTACAGTCTAACCAGACACCTAGGTATTTGTAGTTGTCCACATACTCTAGGTCAGACCCGTCGAGAGTAGTGATTCTAGTCGGGTGGGCGGGTGCCAGCAGCGTTCGATTGAACAGCATGCATTTAGTTTTACTAGAGTTTAAGAGCAGTTGGAGGCTACTGAAGGAGTGTTGTATGGCATTGAAGCTCGTTTGGAGGTTTGTTAACACAGTGTCCAATGAAGGGCCAGATGTATACAAAATGGTGTCGTCTGCATAGAGGTGGATCTGAGAGTCACCAGTAGCAAGAGCGACATCATTGATATACACGGAGAAAAGAGTCGGCCCAAGAATTGAACCCTGTGGCACCCCCATAGAGACTGCCATAGGTCCAGACAACAGGCCCTCCGATTTGACACATTGAACTCTATCTGAGAAGTAGTTGGTGAACCAGGCGAGGCAGTCATTTGAGAAACCAAGGCTATTTAGTCTGCCAATAAGAATGCGGTGGTTGACAGAGTCGAAAGCCTTGGCCAGGTCGATGAAGACTGCTGCACAGTACTGTCTATTATCGATCGCGGTTATAATATCGTTTAGGACCTTGAGCGTGGCTGAAGTGCACCCATGACCAGCTCGGAAACCGGATTGCATAGCGGAGAAGGTACGGTGGGATTCGAAATGGTCGGTGATCTGTTTGTTAACTTGGCTTTCAAAAACTTTCGAAAGGCAGAGCAGGATGGATATAGGTCTGTAACAGTTTGGATCTAGAGTGTCACCCCCTTTGAAGAGGGGGATGACCGTGGCAGCTTTCCAATCTCTGGGGATCTCAGACGTTACGAAAGAGAGGTTGAACAGGCTAGTAATAGGGGTTGCGACAATTTCGGCGGCTAGTTTTAGAAAGAAAGGGTCCAGATTGTCTAGCCCAGCTGATTTGTAGGGATCCAGATTGTGCAGCTCTTTCAGAACATCAGCTGTCTGAATTTGTGTGAAGGAGAAGCAGAGGGGGCATGGGCAAGTTGCAGCGGAGGGTGCAGAGCTGTTGGCCGGGGTAGTGGTAGCCAGGTGGAACGCATGGCCAGCCGTAGCAAAATGCTTGTTGAAATTCTCGATTATTGTAGATTTATCGGTGGTGATAGTGTTTCCTAGCCTCAGTGCAGTGGGCAGCTGGGAGGAAGTGCTCTTATTCTCCATGGACTTTACAGTGTCCCAAAACTTTTTGGAGTTAGTGCTACAGGTTGCAAATTTCTGTTTGAAAAAGTTAGCCTTTGCTTTCCTAACTGCTTGTGTATATTGGTTCCTAACTTCTCTGAAAAGTTGCATATCGCGGGGGCTATTTGATGCTAATGCAGTACGCCACAGGATGTGTTTGTGCTGGTCAAGGGCAGTCAAGTCTGAGGAGAACCAGGGGCTATATCTGTTCTTAGTTCTGTATTTTTTGAATGGGGCATGTTTATTTAAGATTGAGAGGAAATTACTTTTAAAGAACAACCAGGCATCCTCTACTGACGGAATGAGATCTATATCCATCCAGGATACCTGGGCCAGGTCAATTAGGAAGGCCTGCTCGCTAAAGTGTTTTAGGGAGCGTTTGACAGTGATGAGGGGTGGTCGTTTGACCGCGGACCCGTTACGGACGCAGGCAATAAGGCAGTGATCGCTGAGATCCTGGTTGAAGACAGCGGAGGTGTATTTAGAGGGTAAGAGTGTGCTCCTAATCTCAGCTCGTTACCTGTATAAAAGACACCTGGGAGTCAGAAATCTTTCTGATTGAGAGGGGGTCAAATACTTATTTCCCTCATTAAAATGCAAATCAATTTATAACATTTTTGACATGCGTTTTTCTTGATTTCTTTGTTTGTTATTCTGTCTCTCACTGTTCAAATAAACCTACCATTAAAATTATAGACTGATCATTTCTTTGTCAGTGGGCAAATGTACAAAATCAGCAGGGGATCAAATACTTTTTTCCCTCACTGTAGGTTGTGTCTAAATGGAAAAATACACGTTTAAAAAATGTAGACATTTTTTAGTGATCCAATTGACATTTTAGTCATTTAACAGACGCTCTTATCCAGAGCGACTTACAATTAGTGAGTGTATACTAATGCATTTTTCATACTGACCAATAGACAGACGACTCTTGCTCGTCTAAGATTTGTCTTAGTCGGAGACAGCCCTGCACTGTATACATATAGCCTCCTCCTATTTGTACTGGATTCCAAGTGCATCGTCAAATCAACCAATCCTTCTGATCTTAATTTCACCCCTCAGATGTCCACAGACTAACCCATCTTTCCCATTATATTACCAGTGTGTATGTTTTTGAAAGTAATCCTGGGGGTGTATAAGTGGATGTTGTACGAGGAGGCCTACCAGGCAGCAGTATATAAGTGTTAACAGTGTATGTGGTTGTGTTATCTCTAGGTGATCCTGGGGGAGTATCAGTGGATGTCGTACGAGGAGACCTACCAGTCAGCAGTGTGTTTTGGCAGTGGGCTGGCAGCGCTGGGCCAGAGGCCTCAGTGTAACATTGCCATCTTCTGTGAGACCAGGGCTGAGTGGATGATAGCAGCACAGGCCTGCTTCATATACAACTTCCCATGTGAGTGTTTATGTTCGACAGTAGCACACACACTATAGCAACACACACACACACAATGAATCTCTAACCCCAGTCTGTGTCATTCTGCCAGTGGTGACGTTGTACTCTACTCTGGGCGGAGCGGCCATTGCCCACGGTCTGAACGAGACTGAGATCACCCACATCATCACCAGCAAAGACCTGCTACACAGCCGTCTCAAGGTAGGGTCTGCTCTCCTTGTCCTGATCACTTCCTGCAATGCCATATGAGACGGTACACACTCCAGCCAGATAATACAATTTGCCCACATTTTAAATAGTCTTGCACCATGTCCTGTTAAGTCAAACTAGACAGTACACACACACATGTTTATATAAAAAAGTATGATGACTACATTTTGAATAGTTTTCACCCATAAATATGCATTGAAACACTTGCCCACTTGCATTACAGTCCTTGAGCAGTGTTGACATTAAGCGTGTTTGAGGGGATCCGTTTGTACAAGGCAATGCGTAGAATTTCTAGTCTTAATCACATAATGAGCAGTTATTTGGAATGCAAGGTGATTTGTAGATCATTGATTCTAAGCAGTCTGACTGCGATGTAGTCTATCTAGAACACGCATTTGACTTACTCAGTCAATAGCTACTTACACTCCTCCCTCTCCTCCTGCCGTCTCCTCCCAGGCCATTCTGTTGGAGGTGCCTCGGCTGCAGCACATCATCGTGGTGGACAGTAAGCCAACCAGTTGGCCCGGCTTCCCCCGTGGCATCATGGTCCACAACATGGACGCCGTGCAGGAGCTGGGCTCCAGACCTGACAACAGTAAGGAGGGAGAGCGTGTGTGTGAAGTGGGGTGTGGGGGGTGTGTGTATGTGTGTTTGGGTCTACGTGTTGTCTGACTCAGTACAGTACTTCTGCCCTGTGGTCTTAGCGACTCAAATGTAATCTGACTTCCAGAGTCATATTTTTTTGTACCTGTATTGCCCTCTCTGACATATCTTATCAGATTGTATTAGCCCTGTGCTATGCGCGTGCCCTCTCTTGAAAGAAAGATTGATAGCCGTGCTCTGATGCTCCCGCATTGTGCAATGTTCAGACCCAAAAGTAGTTGTCTGTGTGACCTCTTTAACCTCCCTGCTGCCCCCCTTCTCTCTCTCTGTGCGCGTGTGTAGTGGCGGTGGAGCGCCGGCAGCCCCTGCCCTCTGACATCGCTGTCATCATGTACACCAGCGGCTCCACGGGCATCCCCAAGGGCGTCATGATCTCCCATAGCAACATCATCGCGGGCGTCACAGGCATGGCAGAGCGCATCCCAGACCTGGAGTACGTACAGAGAACTATGGTGTCTTCTAGATTGACTGCTCATTCTGTGATGCTTTGTTTTAGACTTTTCTCTCTCACTGCCACTCTCTTTCCCCCCATGTGCCCTGATCACTGTCTTTCTCCTTTTCTCTTTTCCCCATTCTCTCTATCTCTATCTCTCTTAATCTCTCTCTTTCTCTCTCTCTCTCTTAATCTCTCTCTTTCTCTCTCTCTCTTAATCTCGCTCTTTCGCTCTCTCTCTTAATCTCTCTTTCTCTCTGCCACCATTTCCCCTATAGTATGTAAACGTATCTCTTTCTTTCTTCTTCTCTCTCATTTCATGAATGTCTCTTGAGTGTCCTGCTCTTCATCTTCTTTCATCTCTGTAGTATACATCTATATAAATAGAATGGCCCATATATATACACTACCGTTCAAAAGTTTGTGGTCACTTAGAAATGTCCTTGTTTTCGAAAGAAAAGCAATTTTTTTGGCCATTAAAATAACATCAAATTGATCAGAAATACAGTGTAGACATTGTTAATGTTGTAAATGGCTATTGTAGATGGAAATGGCTGATTTTTTAAAAATGGAATATCTACAGAGGCGTACAGAGGCCCATTATCAGCAACCATCAGTCCTGTGTTCCAAAAGCACGTTGTGTTTGCTAATCCATGTTTATCATTTTAAAAGACTAATTGATCATTAGAAAACCCTTTTTGCAATGATGTTAGCACTGCTGAAAACTGTGCCCTGGTGCACAACTGAGCAAGAGGACAAATATATTATAGTGTCTAGTTTGAGAAACAGGCGCCTGTAATTTTTATCAACTGTGAGAGACGGAATCTAAATCAAAAATCCAGAAAATCACATTGTATGATTTTTAAGTAATTAATTTGCATTTTATTGCATGACATAAGTATTTGATCACCTACCAACCAGTAAGAATTCCGGCTCCCACAGACCTGTTCGTTTTTCTTTAAGAAGCCCTCCTGTTCAACACTCATTACTTGTATTAACTGCACCTGTTTGAACTCGTTACCTGTATAAAAGACACCTGTCCACACACTCAATCAAACAGACTCTAACCTCTCCACAATGGCCAAGACCAGAGAGCTGTGTAAGGACATCAGGGATAAAATTGTAGACCTGTACAAGGCTGGGATGGGCTACAGGACAATAGGCAAGCAGCTTGGTGAGAAGGCAACAACTGTTGGCACAATTATTAGAAAATGGAAGAAGTTCAAGATGACGGTCAATCACCCTCGGTCTGGGGCTCCATGCAAGATCTCACCTCGTGGGGCATCAATGATCATGAGGAAGGTGAGGGATCAGCCCAGAACTACACGGCAGGACCTGGTCAATGACCTGAAGAGAGCTGGGACCACAGTCTCAAAGAAAACCATTAGTAACAGACTACGCCGTCATGGATTAAAATCCTGCAGCGCACGCAAGGTCCCCCTGCTCAAGCCAGCGCATGTCCAGGCCCGTCTGAAGTTTGCCAATGACCATCTGGATGATCCAGAGGAGGAATGGGAGAAGGTCATGTGGTCTGTTGAGACAAAAATATAGCTTTTTGGTCAAAACTCCACTCGCCGTGTTTGGAGGAAGAAGAAGGATGAGTACAACCCCAAGAACACCATCCCAACCGTGAAGCATGGAGGTGGAAACATCATTCTTTGGGGATGCTTTTCTGCAAAAGGGACAGGACGACTGCACCGTATTGAGGGGAGGATGGATGGAGCCATGTATCGCAAGATCTTGGCCAACAACCTCCTTCCCTCAGTAAGAGCATTGAAGATGGGTCGTGGCTGGGTCTTCCAGCATGACAACGACCCGAAACACACAGCCAGGGCAACTAAGGAGTGGCTCCGTAAGAAGCATCTCAAGGTCCTGGAGTGGCCTAGCCAGTCTCCAGACCTGAACCCAATAGAAAATCTTTGGAGGGAGCTGAAAGTCTGTATTGCCCAGCGACAGCACCGAAACCTGAAGGATCTGGAGAAGGTCTATATGGAGGAGTGGGCCAAAATCCCTGCTGCAGTGTGTGCAAACCTGTTCAAGACCTACAGGAAACGTATGATCTCTGTAATTGCAAACAAAGGTTTCTATACCAAATATGAAGTTCTGCTTTTCTGATGTATCAAAACTTATGTCATGCAATAAAATGCAAATGAATTACTTAAAAATCATACAATGTGATTTTCTGGATTTTTGTTTTAGATTCCGTCTCTCACAGTTGAAGTGTACCTAATGATAAAAATTACAGACCTCTACATGCTTTATAAGTAGGAAAACCTGCAAAATCGGCAGTGTATCAAATACTTGTTCTCCCCACTGTATATATTGTAAAGTGGTTGTCCCACTGGCTATCATAAGGTGAATGCACCAATTTGTAAGTCGCTCTGGATAAGAGCGTCTGCTAAATGACGAAAATGTAAATGTTATGAAGGCCTGATTCACGCAGTCTCCTCTGAACAGTTGATGTTGAGATGTGTCTGTTACTTGAGCTCTGTGAAGCATTTATTTGGGCTGCAATTTCTGAGGATGGTAACGCTAATGAACTTATCCTCTGCAGCAGAGATAACTCTGGGTCTTCCATTCCTGTGGCGGTCCTCATGAGAGCCAGTTTCATCATAGCGCTTGATGGTTTTTGGGACTGAAATGTTCCGTATTGACTGACCTTCATGCCTTAAAGTAATGATGGACACAAATTAACTTTTAACAAGGCACACCTGTTAATTGAAATGCATTCCAGGTGACTACCTCGTGAAGCTGGTTGAGAGAATGCCAAGAGTGTGCAAAGCTGTCATCAAGGCAAAGGGTGGCTACTTTGAAGAATCTCAAATATTAAATATATTTTGATTTGTTTAATACTTTTTTGGTTACTACATGATTCCATATGTGTTATTTCATAGTTTTGACGTCTTCACTATTATTCTCCAAGGTGGAAAATAGTAAATATAAAGAAAACCCTTGAATGAGTAGGTGTGTCCAAACTTTTGACTGGTACTGTATATTGTGTCTGTATGTTTGGCAGTTGAAAAAATGTTTTTTGTTTCCATTCGTGCAGTGAAACAGACACCTACATTGGGTACCTACCACTGGCCCATGTTCTGGAGCTGAGTGCAGAGATGGTGTGTATCGCTCACGGCTGCTGCATCGGATACTCCTCCCCACTGACGCTAGCAGACCAGGTGAACACACACACACACACACACACAAGCCAAGGCACAAAAACACACGCAGTATGTAGAAACACTCTATTCGACCTCCACTATTAGAGGAGAACAGGCCTAGCTGTGCTCTTCTCCTATTCTCTCTCCTTTCTCTGATCCATCTCTCTCTCGTGTCTTCCTCCCCAGTCGACTAAGATTAAGAAGGGCAGTAAAGGAGACACCAGTGTTCTAAAACCTACACTCATGGCTGCTGTACCGGTAAGCGCTAAAGCTACTATAGAATATATATATAAACAGTTAATATTCTGTTAACTTAAACTCCAGTACAAATTCTATGACCTGAGTAAGATACACACAGAACGTTTTTTAATTGAAGTGCTGTTTTGTCCTCTTTCCTTCTCTGTCCCTCTGTCTCCCTCCTGCAGGAGATCATGGATCGTATCTATAAGAATGTGATGACCAAGGTGGAGGAGATGAGCAGTGTGCAGAGAACCCTGTTTGTGTTGGCCTACAACTATAAGATGGAACAGATCACCAAGGGCTACAGCACCCCGCTCTGTGACAGGTAACACATGCACGCATTCCCACACACATGTAGCACAGCAAACACACACACACACAGGCAATGGGTAATGATTGATGGAGATTCTCCAGGAGGAAATAGGAGTTTGAACTAGGGCTGTGGCGGCCATCAAATTATGTCAGCCGGTTATTGTCATGCAAAAGGCTGCCGGTCTCACGGAAATTGACCGTTCATTAACATAAACACGTTTAGGATCTCCAGGCCTCCACACATACAAGCTGCTGATGTGTGCCTTTGGAACATCTACATTAATTTAATATACATCATAACAATCAATCCATTATTTATTTTAGGTAGGTCTAAAGAAACATTATGATATTAAGAAAATGTATTTCAGAAGAACAGAATAGCTTATGAGTTGGCCTACTGTATGTTACCTGGCAATGCTCCATGCCATAGGATGTAGGCTTGTTGGTTTAGCTGACAAGATACAGTGGGGAAAAAAAGTATTTAGGCAGCCACCAATTGTGCAAGTTCTCCCACTTAAAAAGATGAGAGAGGCCTGTAATTTTCATCATAGGTACACGTCAACTATGACAGACAAAATGAGGAAAAAAATTCCAGAAAATCACATTGTAGGATTTTTAATGAATTTATTTGCAAATTATGGTGGAAAATAAGTATTTGGTCAATAACAAAAGTTTCTCAATACTTTGTTATATACCCTTTGTTGGCAATGACACAGGTCAAACGTTTTCTGTAAGTCTTCACAAGGTTTTCACACACTGTTGCTGGTATTTTGGCCCATTCCTCCATGCAGATCTCCTCTAGAGCAGTGATGTTTTGGGGCTGTCGCTGGGCAACACGGACTTTCAACTCCCTCCAAAGATTTTCTATGGGGTTGAGATCTGGAGACTGGCTAGGCCACTCCAGGACCATGAAATGCTTCTTACGAAGCCACTCCTTCGTTGCCCGGGCGGTGTGTTTGGGATCATTGTCATGCTGAAAGACCCAGCCACGTTTCATCTTCAATGCCCTTGCTGATGGAAGGAGGTTTTCACTCAAAATCTCACGATACATGGCCCCATTCATTCTTTCCTTTACACGGATCAGTCGTCCTGGTCCCTTTGCAGAAAAACAGCCCCAAAGCATGATGTTTCCACCCCCATGCTTCACAGTAGGTATGGTGTTCTTTAGATGCAACTCAGCATTCTTTGTCCTCCAAACACGACGAGTTGAGTTTTTACCAAAAAGTTATATTTTGGTTTCATCTGACCATATGACATTCTCCCAATCCTCTTCTGGATCATCCAAATGCACTCTAGCAAACGTCAGACGGGCTTGGACATGTACTGGCTTAAGCAGGGGGACACGTCTGGCACTGCAGGATTTGAGTCCCTGGCGGCGTAGTGTGTTACTGATGGTAGGCTTTGTTACTTTGGTCCCAGCTCTCTGCAGGTCATTCACTAGGTCCCCCCGTGTGGTTCTGGGATTTTTGCTCACCGTTCTTGTGATCATTTTGACCCCACGGGGTGAGATCTTGCGTGGAGCCCCAGATCGAGGGAGATTATCAGTGGTCTTGTATGTCTTCCATTTCCTAATAATTGCTCCCACAGTTGATTTCTTCAAACCAAGCTGCTTACCTATTGCAGATTCAGTCTTCCCAGCCTGGTGCAGGTCTACAATTTTGTTTCTGGTGTCCTTTGACAGCTCTTTGGTCTTGGCCATAGTGGAGTTTGGAGTGTGACTGTTTGAGGTTGTGGACAGGTGTCTTTTATACTGATAACAAGTTCAAACAGGTGCTATTAATACAGGTAATGAGTGGAGGACAGAGGAGCCTCTTAAAGAAGAAGTTACAGGTCTGTGAGAGCCAGAAATCTTGCTTGTTTGTAGGTGACCAAATACTTATTTTCCACCATAATTTGCAAATAAATTCATTAAAAATCCTACAATGTGATTTTCAGGATTTTTTTCCCTCATTTTGTCTTTCATAGTTGACGTGTACCTATGATGAAAATTACAGGCCTCTCTCATCTTTTTAAGTGGGAGAACTTGCACAATTGGTGGCTGACTAAATACTTTTTTCCCCCACTGTATGCTTATAAGTCCCGTGCCATTATTTTATATGATATGATTTTATAGGAAAAATAATATAATTGAACTTAGCTGAAGCTCAGCTGGTAGAGCACGGCGCTTGTAACGCCAAGGTAGTGGGTTCGATCCCCGGGACCACCCATACACAAAAATGTATGCACGCATGACTGTAAGTCGCTTTGGATAAAAGCGTCTGCTAAATGGCATATTATTTTATTATTATATAAAATAGAAAGGATATTTTTCCCATTCCGGAGCGAGTGCGCATATGAAGTGGCTATGTTGAGTATAAAAGTGATCATTTGAAACAGGTCCTAGACGCTAGATTTAGAGTTATTTGGCAACTTTAGTTGTGAATGATACAAACCTTAGAATGTCTTAGAAATCAAAACATATATGGGCTGCATGATGCGACTATAGGCTATTGTTGATTTGAAAAAGTTGCAAAAAAAGCTTGTGCTCTGTTCCTTGCCTCAGGCTGCACACACTGTTCTCTCATCAAGTGATCATATTATCACCCATCAGAATATTCTCAATTTAATATTGTCTTTACTAATATGTAAAATGTGTTTATATTTAGAATGGCCCATTATCAAATGGGCAGGAACAAGGGCAGGGGAAAAAAAGACTATGCACTAGAATAGCGAATGGAGGCCGCTTTCCTGCCTGTTCGTTCGGGTAGGCTACTCCAGTTATTTCACTCCACGCATCAACCACTGTTTGTGGAGCATGCTGCCTCTTGCTGCGCGACAGGTGATATTCCGACCAAACTCTGTATTCCATGGGCTCTCCAACCATGTTCCTGCAGTTACCAAGAGCTTAATTTGGGAAACCAAGTGAAATCTGTTCGAGAACATCGAAAGTAACATGTTTTCACAATGAAACATAGAGTATTTAATTAAACTGTTGACAGCCCCTCTTTCTGCGCGCTTCAGAAAGTAATGAAGGAGAGAGGGGAGGAGATGGAAACGCACGGTGGTGAGATATTCTGTAGCTAAAGGTAATGTGTCACCCAATTAATTATAAAACATTATAATATCAAAAATTCCCTATTACTAGGCTATTCAAAATCAAATACAAATGCACTATTGTAGGCTAACTGTAATCGCCTAGGCCTATACATTCTCTCCCAGACTCATGGATAGACAATTTGGAATATAGGCTAGATCAATTAAAGACATAATATGCGGTAGCCTATGTATTGTATAATGAAGGGCATAAGCATTATTTTAATTGTATTACTTTTTGTTCAGGCTTGGGTTCATATATGAGAATGTATACGGTAATATTAATCATCACCTTAGAAAGAGCTGTCCATTTAATTGTTCGGCTTTGAAACAACATCCACAATGACCATGTTTTCCACTCAGTTTCAACCTGTTGTTGAACTTCTTCTTCAAATTAATCAATCACAGTGAGGTGAGTTTTTTAAAAGCACAATACTGTTTTGATGGTAAGTGTTTGATGTGATTTTCGATTGCATTGACGTCAGAGTGGTTAGAAGGACAATAGAGCCCTGAGTACCAGGCCATTAGCGAGTTGGATACTACATTTACATTTTAGTCATTTAGCAGACGCTCTTATCCAGAGCGATTTACAGGAGCAATTAGGGTTAAGTGCCTTGCTCAAGGGCACATCGACCGATTTTTCACCTAGTCGGCTCGGAGATTAGAACCAGCGACCTTTCGGTTACTGGCACAACGCTCTTAACCTCTTAACCACTAAGCTACCAACGCATGTCCTGAGTGCATAAGAGGAGATTACCGTGACTCAGCGGTCACAAGGAATTTTACTGCGGTCGTGACTAGGGCTGTGGCCGGTGATTGTCAAGCAAATAACTGCCGGTCTCACGTAATTGACCGTTGATTAACAAACACATTTAGCATCTCCTGGCTTCCACACACAGCCTACAAGCCACTGATGCAGACCTTTGGAACATCTACATTTAAAAAAGTCTAATAAATCCATGTAATATAGCCTACACCATCACAATAAATCCATTATTTATTTTAGACAGGTCTTAAGAAACAACATGATATGAAGAAAATGTAGTCTATTTTCAGAAGAACAGAATAGCATATTCTGAGTTGTCCTTATGTTAGGCCCTGATCTGGCTATGCCATATGGCTGTGGGCTACACTAGTTCATTTAGCAGACAAGATTTGCTTAGAATTCCATGGCATTATTTAATATTATTTGATAGTATGAAGAATACAATTGAACATAGCTGAATTAAATAGAAAATATATTTTAACATATAGGCCTATGGGCTAGGCTACATGAGGTGTGCGACTATGATTTGAAAAAGTCGCAGAAAAAGCATGTGCTGTTTGCTTTTCATCATTCACAAGTGATAGGCTAATATCACCCCATCACACTATTCTTGATTTAACCTTGTCTTTACATATACTAAATAATATATATGTGTGAAATTTGTTTGGATTTAGAATGGACCACTATCATGCACCTGTCTCGAAACAGGGGCAGGGGGAAAAAATACATGTAATCTATGCACTTAAATAGGGAATGGAGGACGCTTTTCCCGTGGTTCATTTTCATGCCAGCCAGGTAGGCTATACTCCTGTTGTAAAGATAAGCAATGTGCTTAATATTAGGAAAGTTGAGAAAAGATATAGTAGGTCTAGTCTATAGAAAGCTGATGGGATCCTCCTCTTTTTTATAGAGGCCATCACTCACGCAATTGCATAGCCTATAGAAATGTTGCGCAACATGAGCTCATGGGCTCTCATGAAGTGTTTGATTAGATTTTCAATCACATTTGCATTGATGTCAGAGTGATTAGAGGGACAATAGAGTGCTGAGTACCAGACAGTTAGCAAGTTTGGTCAGAGCTTGGAGAAGCCTAATTACCGTGACTAAACGGTCACGTGGAATTTGACTGCAGTCATGACTCGTGACCGCTGGTGTGGTGGTAATACAGTCACCACAACAGCCTTAATGGAGGCTCACTTTTTTCCCTTTTCATTCACTCACACACTTGCTCAGTGAATACGACAAACAAACCAATTTTCTCGATATTGCATGTGGCATTGCTGTGGGGGGTTCCTGCATTAAAAAGAAACAGAAGGTTCACACAGAGATTATTACTGTGTGGTGAATGACTTGGTGTTTGTCATGATGTTATACTTATCCTCTTCTCTCTGTTTCTATCTCTCCCTCTCTCTCTCTCCACCTCTCTTTCTCCAGTCTGGTGTTTAGGAAGGTGCGCTCGTTGTTGGGGGGTCACATGCGGGTGCTGTTGTCAGGCGGAGCGCCCCTATCCGCTGCCACCCAGCGCTTCATGAACATCTGCCTCTGCTGTCCCGTGGGCCAAGGCTACGGCCTCACCGAGACCTGCGGCGCTGGCACCATCAGCGAGAGTAAGAGAGAAGGAAGGAAAGGAGGGAGGAGGGAGGGGGAGGGGAGAGGAAAGTCCAAGAAGAAGGGAGGGTAAAAGAGAGGGAAGTATGTAGACTGATGGAAGAGAGCGGATGGGGCACAATAGAGAAAGCCAGGTGATTGTACACAGTAGTGTGATATGCTGTGTTCTCACACTTCTTTTTTCTCTCTCTATTTGTCAGTGTGGGACTACAGCACAGGCCGGGTCGGAGCTCCTCTGGTCTGCTCCGAGATCACCCTCAAGGACTGGGAGGAGGGTGAGTCCCTCCATGGCACTGGGACTGTAGAATAGGTGATATTAGGGGAGGGCTGGGAAAAGGGGGAGTTGGGCTGGGGGGGTGGAGGTGAGTGGGGTTGGGGGCTAGGGTGAATGAAAGTTGTATTAGAAGGGATGGACGTGGGGCTGAAGATGCTTTCGACATAGACCTCATCCTCTTCTCCTGATCTTCTCCAGGCGGTTACTACAGCACAGACAAGCCACACCCGAGAGGGGAGATTGTAATCGGCGGGCCCAACGTGACTATGGGTTACTACAAGAACGAGGTGAAGAACCGTGAGGACTTCTTTGTGGACAGCAACGGCCAGCGCTGGTTCTGTACGGGAGACATCGGGGAGTTTCACCCAGATGGGTGCCTCAAGATTATCGGTGAGGAACCCAGAAAAAATACACATTTTAGAGAGAGCCCTATGATATTTTGTACGTCTCTCTGTGGATTTATATACGAGTCAGGATGAAAGCGCCAGATCCTCAGAATCTTCCCCATATGAACCAACTAACAATTCAGACCAGTACAATTAACTGAGGGTGGCCTTGTGGTTAAGGCCGCCGCCCTCGGCACATATAGGATGATTCCCTTGCCTGCGAGGATCCGAATCCGGGCATCTACCAACCCTACTCCTTCCTTCCCTTCTCTATGTATCCACTTCATTTCATACCTGTCTCTGTCAAAAACAATAAAATATGAAAGGATTCACATACATAAATGACTGTACTCCAACAGATAAATTCCTCCCGAAGGCGGCTGTATATAAATCTACGTTACCAATCATTGTGTTCCTTCTGTGTAGACCGTAAGAAGGACCTGGTGAAGCTCCAGGCTGGGGAGTATGTGTCTCTGGGGAAGGTGGAGGCCATGCTGAAGAACTGCCCTTTCGTAGACAACATCTGCGCCTACGCAAACAGGTAACAATGCACATATTATATAGCACCGGGTGACTGGAGTCTCTCTCTATAATACTGAGTGTATAAAACATTAGGAACACCTTGCTAATATTGAGTTGCAACAGCCTCAATTCGTCGGGGCATGGACTCTACAAGGTGTCGAAAGCGTTCCACAGGGATGCTGGCCCATATTGACTCCAATGCTTCTCACAGTTGTGTCAAGTTGACTGGATGTCCTTTGGGTGGTGGACCATTCTTGATACACACGTGAAACTGTTGAGCGTGAAAAACCCAGCAGCGTTGCAGTTCTTGACACAAACCGGTGCGCCTGGCACCTACCACCATACCCTGTTCAAAGGCACTTAAATATTTTGTCTTGCCCATTCACCCTCTGAATGGCACACGTACACAATCCATGTCTCAATTGTCTCAAGGCTTAAAAATCATTATTTAACCTGTCTCCTCCCCTTCATCTACACTGATTTGAAGTGGATTTAACAGATAAGGGATCATAGCTTTCACCTGGATTCACCTGGTCAGTCTATGTCATGGAAAGAACAGGTGTTCTTAATGTTTTGTACACTCAGTACAAAACATTGATTGTCTGTTTCTCCTTGTCAACTTGTTCTATCTCACAATGTCTCCATCTGCTGTCTGTGCCACCCACTTTCTACCTCTCTCCTGTCTCTCTCTCTCTCATTGTCTTTCTAACTCATTACTCTCTCTATCCTTCATCTTATTCTGGCCCCTCTCTCTCTCCATCTTTGCCTTTCATTATAATAATAACTATTATGATGATGATGATGATGATGATGATGATGTAAAAAGGAATTATACAAATCAACTGTATTGTCTAAATAAAACAATAACACTATTTTATCTCTCCATTTCCTTAACTTTCTCCCTCCCAGTGACCAGTCGTACGTGATTGGCTTTGTGGTGCCCAATCAGAAGCAGTTGATGGTGCTGGCGGAGCAGAGAGGGTTACGGGGCAGCTGGGAGGAGATCTGTAACAACCCCGACATGGAGAGAGACGTCCTCCGCATCATCACAGAGGCCGCTCTGTCAGGTAGGATGGAGTGATGGAGAGAGGGAAGCGAGGGAGGAAGGTAGGAGTTAGTTAGGAGAGATGAAGGGAGACGATCAAGAGGTGATAGAAAAAGGACAGAGGTAGGAAAGAGGGATGGAGGGGACTATGAGAGACGGTTGGAGGGAGGAATAGAGGTTTCTGGTTGTAACAGATTATTGGGCTGCGTTCCAAACACGTAAAAGACACACGCTCCTCCACTTACCCTCACCTTATGCCCTTGCGGGAATCACCGCGGCCATCTTTGCCGTCGGTCCAAACAATTAGCCAAGCAAGGGAAGTTGGCAATGTAAGCCCCTCAGCCCTCGTTTGTGATCGAGTGTACAATTCTGTTCACTCCAGGGCCTGAAATGCCCCATAATTCAATTTGCGATGATTGCACATCCGCTAAGAAAAGTCAGCCAAAACTTAAATGCAACACTCAAACATGATGGAGGATAAACGAGGAGAATCAATCTCCAAAAGAAAACGCGACTCCTCAACGGATACAGATGATTTATGCTTTTCACCACTGGGACTGGTAAGTGTGGAAAGCAATCTGTTGAAGTTGATAAATGACAAACTGGGCATACTAGAGTTGGTCAGTAAGGATGTAAAGGAGTTGAAGGTGAGTCTTGAAATGAGTGACGAAAAAGCTGTGATAATGGAGAAAGATTAAAAAAAAGCTAAAAGGGACAGTCACTAAGATAGAAACGGACGTTAAGGAACTTAAAAAGAAGAACAACTTTCTGAGAGAAGCCTTCCTAGACATACAGAGTAGATCGATGAGAGAAAATCTAGTACTTACGGGTATCCAAGAAAAAGAAGGAGAGGTTACCGAAGGACTTCTTTCTTACAGCGCTTCAAATCCCACTCGATGCTGCCGATAAAATCCAACTCGAACGTGTACACCGTTTCGGACAGAGATGTGAGCGTCCAATCGTTGCCAAATTTGTTTTTTTTTTAAGGATAAAGTAATGGTTAAAAGCCTAGGTAAAAGACTTGCTGGCACGAAAATAGGCATGAATGATCAGTTTCCGAGGGAGATTGCAGAACGGCGCAAAGTTCTGTACCCAATCTTCAAGGAAAATAGATTAAAAGGGAAGCGTGTTGCTCTCGTAGTCGATAAACTGTATATTGACAACCAAATGTTCCTTGACTCAAAGACTACTCCATGGCTATTCTGAAAGTTCTAATAGAGTCATCGAATAATGAAACACACAATACTAGCCATGGTAGGTATTGTAATAATAAAACACATTTATAGTATTTATAGTATTTTATAAAGGGATAAGACGGCATTACAAGAAAGGATAACAAGCTAAATAATACATCTTCAAATATCACTAATTAAAACACAAGTACTCAATCAACATAGTGGAGATAAAAACATAGCAAACAGAAGACATAGAGGGCACAGTGTGTGGATGTATTGTGATGGAAGGTGTGCTGTGCGTTTTTGTGTTTGGAAAAGTGTGGCGTTAAGTGAGTGAGAAAGGAAATGGTTGCATATCCCAGAACCAACGTGTGTCTGTGAGCAGGGGTTGTGAGAGAGCTTTCAATTTTGTGCAGATGAGGGATATACATTTTAAAATAAAGTATACATCGAATTATTATTTTTATTGTCCTATCATGATGGAACGGTCCCCAACCCTATATCCTAGACACCCACCTGAGCGACCCATTCACCAAAGGGAAGTCCCCATCTGTTTTATGGCCCTGCTGTAAGTTGCCTATATGCAGCCAAAACAGAAAGATAAATGCGGTCAGAGACCTACTAGAGCAGCACCGCCCCCTCAAGATTCTGAGCCTGCCTGGCAGGGTTGGTCCTACAAAGCCAGAGCCCCCTGATGGGAGAGCATAATATACAAGGAAATTCTCAAAGCTGCTAATGAGAAACCTTGACGTCCTTGTACCTAGCCGGTGGGGATTGTACCCCCACCCAGGTAGTGGCAGTGCTGGCAACACTGGCTGCAGTAACCCATGGGGAGGGGGTCACACTCGGACAATCAGAGAGGGGGCATATTATTGTGGCCCTGGTGGCACAAAATAATCAAAGGTCTGACTGCACGGAGATGCTTGAGGAAAATGGTTACAATGGTCCCCACCAGAGTGTTTGTGTTTCAGGGGAAGAGGGTGGATCTGATTTCCATCACCTAGGACTTGACATAGGTTAATCAAATCTAAAGTTCTTGTCAATTTTTGCTCAATCTTGCATGCTTTCTCAAGCAGCTGTAACTGTATATGCATTCGTAAATCAGGTCCTTTCTTGAGTTGGGCTCTGGGATGTAACAACCCTTGAGCATCTGAGCTTATGGTTGATTGTGGAGGAAAGGGATTGAGTGTGTAAGAGTGTGTGCGTGTGTGTGTGTGTGTGTATCCAACATCTGTTGCAAGGGGGTAAGGATGTTAGGGAGAATATAGGATGAACCAAAATAATTGTTTGCTAAAATAATAATTGCTTGACAAAAATGTAATGTAATACAATGGCAATCCGGGTTATAGGTAACAATGCTTTGCATGAACTGCCGACATTATTACGCATATTAATTGATAATGATGGAAATTAAGATATGCAAGATATTTGAATAGATATATATTTTTAATAGCTATATACAGTGGGGAGAACAAGTATTTGATACACTGCCGATTTTGCAGGTTTTCCTACTTACAAAGCATGTAGAGGTCTGTAATTTTTATCATAGGTACACTTCAACTGTGAGAGATGGAATCTAAAACAAAAATTCAGAAAATCACATTGTATGATTTTTAAGTAATTAATTTGCATTTTATTGCATGACATAAGTATTTGATCACCTACCAACCAGTAAGAATTCCGGCTCTTACAGACCTGTTAGTTTTTCTTAAAGAAGCCCTCCTGTTCTCCACTCATTACCTGCATTAACTGCACCTGTTTGAACTCGTTACCTGTATAAAAGATACCTGTCCACACACTCAAACAAACAGACTCCAACCTCTCCACAATGGCCAAGACCAGAGAGCTGTGTAAGGACATCAGGGATTGCCATCGAGATGTTAGCTATTAAAATCAGATCCAACAATAATATCAAAGGATTAGAAATCCAGGGCTTAAAAACAAAGGTGTCATTGTACGTTAATGATTATTTTTTTCTTTTAAATCCACAACTTGAATCCCTCCACAGCCTCTCAGAGGATCTAGATACATTTTCCAACCTCTCTGGATTACAACCAAATTATGATAAATGTACTAAATGACGTATTGGATCACAAAAAAATACAATTTTTACATTACCATGATGGTGATGTGGATATACTTAGAATACATATCCCAAATGAAATAAATGATCTCACTCCAATACATTTTAATAGAAAGTTAGCAAAAATAGATAAGATCTTTCTACCATGGAAAGGTAAATACCTGTCTATTTGTGGAAAAATCACCCTGATTAACTCTTTAGTATTATCCCAGTTTACCTATTTGCTTATGGTCTTGCCTACGCTTAGCGAACAGTTTTTTAAATTATATGAGAAAAACATTTTATTTGGAACGGCAAGCCAGACAAAATTAAACGGGCCTATTTATATAATGAATATGAATTCGGAGGACAGAAATTATTAAATATTAAAGCATTAGACCTATCACTAAAAGCTTCAGTCATACAAAAATGATACTTAAATCCGAACTGGTTCTCTAGCAAACTAGTAAGATTGTCTCACCCCATGTTCAAGAATGGCCTTTTTCCCTTTATTCAGATTACAACCTCTCACTTTCAGTTATTTGAAAAGGAAATAATCTCCCAAATATCACTATTTCTAAAACAAGCCATAGAAAGTTGGTTGTAATTTCACTGCAGAAACGACAGAACAAAAAATGCAACAAATATTATGGTTAAACTCAAATATACTAGTTGATAAAAAAACATAATTTTTTGAAAGAATGTTTAAAAAAGGTATAATCTTCGTAAATGATATCATAGGTAGGACTGGTGGAGTTATGTCGCACATGCAGCTAATAAAAACATATGGAAATGTCTGCTCTACCCAAAAATACAACCAAATAATTGCAGCATTAGGAAAGTGGAAGGGGGAAAAAGTAAGGAACTTGTCTATCGGCCTTGCATTAAAGAACATAATTGGTTAAAGAAAATTGTGATAAATAAAAAAGTATACCAGTTTAATTTAAGGACCAAAGGATTGACAGCCGTCCCATATAGATTGCAAAATAGTTGGGAAGAGATTTTTGACGTACCGATTCCATGGCATAGTGTTTATGAACTGATAAGCAAAACAACGCCTGATTCAAAACTTAGAATTGTTCAATTTAAATTATTATACAAAATTCTTGCTACCAATATAATGTTATTTATATGGGGGATACAATCTTCCCAGCTCTGCAGATTTTGCTGCAAAGAGACAGAAGCATTAGATCATTTGTTTTGGTACTGTCCATTTGTAGCTTGTTTTTGGTCACAGGTCCAGGAATGGCTGAAGGATTGCAATATTTACCTGGAACTTACCCTGCAGATAGCACTACTGGGTGATCTGAAAAGTCATAGTCAATCGATCAATAATATAATAATAGCAAAAATGTTTATTTTCAATTTACAATCTGTAGAAACAATGAGAATAGAAGGGTTCAGAACTTTTGTGAAACATCACAGTACAGTTGAAAAATATATGGCAAATAGAAATCCAATATGGATGGTGTTAAGAGATAGATGGGAGGTGTTGAATGGAGCTGAAGGATAGGACTAATAACAACTAACAACAACTAATAACAACTAATGTAAAGCATACTGTGTCCATAATAAGTATATAGGTTATAGATTGAGAGCTTTTGTGAAAGAGCACAGTTAGAAAGATATGGCATTTGGAAGCAAACCGGATGGACATCATGAAAATGATCGGAAAGGTTGAGGGTAGAGGAAGTTCAACAAAATATAATTATTGTAAAATTGACTGTGTCCATAAAATGTATATAGTAAGTATAAGCTGGAAGTAGAGGCCTAAGCATTGTTGTTCACTAGTCTCTCCAACTCTAATTAGGGAAGGGGTGGTGGGGTTGGAAAGTAATAAAGGGAAATATATATTTTTTTTAAAGGATATGTGTATATACATGTATGTATATGTATTTATATGGACAATTGGAAGTCGTAAGTTTACATACATCTTAGCCAAATACATTTAAACTCAGTTTTTCACAATTCCTGACATTTAATCCTAGTAAAAATCCCCTGTTTTAGGTCAGTTAGGATCATCAATTTATTTTAAGAATGTGAAATGTCAGAATAATAGTAGAGAGAATAATTTATTTCAGCTTTTTTAAGTTTTGGGTCATTGTCATGCTGGAATACCCATCCACGACCCATTTTCAATGCCCTGGCTGAAATCTCACCCAAGATTTGAGGGTACATGGCCCTGTCCATCGTCCCTTTGATGCGGTGAAGTTGTCCTGTCCCCTTAGCAGAAAAACACCCCCAAAGCATAATGTTTCCACCTCCATGTTTGACGGTGGGGATGGTGTTCTTGGGGTCATAGGCAGCATTCCTCCTCCTCCAAACACGGCGAGTTGAGTTGATGCCAAAGAGCTCGATTTTGGTCTCATCTGACCACAACACATTCACCCAGTTCTCCTCTGAATCATTCAGATGTTCATTGGTAAACTTCAGACGGGCATGTATATGTGCTTTCTTGAGCAGGGGGACCTTGCGGGCGCTGCAGGATTTCAGTCCTTCACAGCGTAGTGTGTTACCAATTGTTTTCTTGGTGACTATGGTCCCAGCTGCCTTCAGATCATTGACAAGATCCTCCCGTGTAGTTCTGGGCTGATTCCTCACCATTCTCATGATCATTGCAACTCCACGAGGTGAGATCTTGCATGGAGCCCCAGGCCGAGGGAGATTGACAGTTATTTTGTGTTTCTTCCATTTGCGAATAATCGCACCAACTGTTGTCACCTTCTCACCAAGCTGCTTGGCGATGGTCTTGTAGCCCATTCCAGCCTTGTGTAGGTCTACAATCTTGTCCCTGACATCCTTGGAGAGCTCTTTGGTCTTGGCCATGGTGGAGAGTTTGGAATCTGATTGATTGATTGCTTCTGTGGACAGGTGTCTTTTATACAGGGAACAAGCTGAGATTATGAGCACTCCCTTTAAGAGTGTGCTCCTAATCTCAGCTTGTTACCTGTATAAAAGACACCTGGGAGCCAGAAATCTTTCTGATTGAGAGGGGGTCAAATACTTATTTCCCTCATTTAAAATTCAAATCAATTTATAACATTTTTGACATGCGTTTTTCTGGAGTTTTTTGTTGTTATTCTGTCTCTCACTGTTCAAATAAACCTACCATTAAAATTATAGACTGATAATTTATTTGTCAGTGGGCAAACGTACAAAATCAGCAGGGGATCAAATACTTTTTTCCCTCACTGTAAGTGTATGTAAACTTCCGACTTCAACTGTATGTATGTGTGTATGTATAGTTGAAGTCGGAAGTTTACATACACTCCACAAATTTCTCCGTCCAGCCAAGATACGAAATGATCCAATCATATAATTGACTGTAGCGCATATAAAGCACACACAACAGTCACCGTTGGTTCCATGATGACTGAACAAGTGGCGAATTTCCGGGCAAGAGCGGTCTATTTAAAATGAATTAATTCCTCCTTCGTCCCCTGCAAGTGTCAACTCATGATACTTCATCAGAAGTGGGCTGATGGGAGAGTCTTTTACGTGTTTGGAATGCAGCCTTGTTTTTCCTCCTAACCCTCTGCCATCTTTCTGGACCTATCGTTGAATTGTACTTCTCAACCTCAGCCCATGCATTAGTCTCTAATGTCCAGTGTTGTTTCCCCCCAGCCAAACTGGAGCGCTTTGAGATCCCTAAGAAGATCCGTCTGAGTGCAGAGCCCTGGACCCCAGAGACTGGCCTGGTGACAGACGCATTCAAACTCAAACGCAAGGCACTCAAATCACACTATCAGGACGACATCGAGAGAATGTACGGCGGCAAGTAACACACACACACAGACAGACATACGCAAGGAATCTAACAAACACTATGTAGATGACATGAAAACTGGAGAGAATGTACAGCGGCAAGTTACACACAAACAAACACAGACATAGACCCATCCCCCCAATCTAGAACCCCCCCCCATTTTTTTTAAAAAGAAAAGACAGAGGGGCCAAGCCAGTTGGAGCGACATCTGTTACTTCTCTTCGTCAAAGGTTTTTGGGGGTCTGTATGTTGCTATGACGATGGTGGCATCATGGTGATGAAGGATGTCGACACGACTCAGCCGAGACGCAGAAAATGTTTTGAACAATGTCCATGTCCCACTTCTCCGCTCCTCTCCTCTTTTTCTCCCTCCCTTCACTCTCCTCTCCTCCGTCTAGCATCTCCTCTTCGGCCTCTGTGTGTAGTCCAGACACCTGATAGGAGAAAGGATGGTTTTTGTGTGACAGTGGCCTGGGTCGTGTTCATTAGGCATCAAATGGAAGACGACAGACTGAAACAGGGAGGGACTACCTGAACTTGTCCAACAAGAAACGCTCATTTTCATTTTTCCCTTTGCAAAACGTTTTGCTATGGTGTGCACTAATGAATACGACCCTGAAAAAGGAGGCCCTTTGGTTTAAACGTTCCACATCCAGGATTGAATCTATGCAGGGATCTCTTTATATTGTATAAATGTTTTTGGGTGTGGTGATGTTTTGTTTTGTTCATGTTTTGTTATGTTTCTTTTTTTAACGTAATCTGTTTGTCTTCGTTCGTTTCCGAAGCCCATTTGATGAACATCTTGTGTCTGAGAGAAATCAGTGTTACGAAGCCATGAGACATTTTTAGCAACGCAACTCGCATTCTTAATTTGCTTTCTTTATTTCTTATAAAGAAATAGAAAAGACAGATTGGCCAAGCCAGTTGCAGCGGTCTAAGGCACTGCATCTCAGTGCTTGAGGCGTCACTATAGACCCCCTGGTTCGATTCCAGGCTGTATCACAACCGGCCGTGATTGGGAGTTCCATAGGGCGGCGCACAATTGGCCCAGCGTCGTCCGGGTTTGGCCGGTGTAGGCCGTCATTGTAAATAAGAATTAGTTCTTAACTGACTTGCCTAGTTAAATACAGATTAAAAAATAAATATCTTTCTTATATTTTTCTGAATGGTTTGTTTCTCATTTATTATTCTCATTATAATTCTTCTCCCTCATCTGCTATGTCCTGAAGATTGTTTCTATCCTATGGAAGAGTATGTGTTTACTGATTGAAGTCCTATGTCACTCTGTTACTGTGTGCCAGTGATGGAATCTCCTCCCTGCTCTTTGCCCCTGTGTGTGGCTATGGGCTGATGTGATGTGCCTGGGTTTCTCCTAATGTAGGCTGATCCTAGCTCTGACTATTTGTGGGATGTCATGAGTTGACCAAGGCAAGAACTTATCTGGGACCATGTTAGCAATGATTGTGAGGTGTCCTGGGTGGCTACAGGAAAGTAGGATGCAGTTACCCAATAAAGCTGATCTAAGTTTAGTTTCTCTTCCCTGTGGTTGATGTTAGGATGTGGAGAGGATCCTTGATATGTGCCTAAGGGCAACTTCTCAGCATGGGATGCCAATCCTACTGAGACCCTTATTCATTTATATTCTGTCACTTAACCAGCAGGAAGCAGTCTCTGCCTCTGGTTAATCTTTGAAACATAATCTGTATAATAATGTCCAAATTTACAGCTAGGGGTGTGTATGGGTGCATGTGTGGTTTGTACCTGTGCTGATGTTTGTGTGTGTGTGTGGGTGTGTGTGTGTGTGTGTGTGTGTGTGTGTGTGTGTGTGTGTGTGTGTGTGTGTGTGTGTGTGTGTGTGCTTTCACTGCCCTGAGCTTGTTCCAAGTTCCCATGTCTCTGTGAAGCCTGCTGGATGGCCACCACCGTGACCTGTATCAGTCTGTTACCTTTCAATGTTTCCTCCAGTAAAACAATGTTACATACACAGTATCCTGCTAAACCAGGTATGTGGCTCCATAAACCATGTTATCACCTGGACTATCTGGTTCCATAAACCACAAAACCATGTGGATTGTCTGTATCGAATTGGCCTAAACCTGCCATTTTACTCCATAAAATGATGACCAATGTACTGCATGGATGTCTCCAAGAGAACCAATTAATCCCAGTCCAGATCTGTAGGTGTTTGCTTTATTAATAGCTGTTTGGCAGACTGTGTTTGTGTGTCATACAACAGTAGTCCTGTCTACTCTGATATCCCTGTTTGTATTACAGTAATACATTGTCCTATTTCTTTGTCATAGCCCTAGTTACTGTTCTATTATTGATGAAATATGAAATACAGATTGAATGTGCAATATTTATATGAAATACACATTCTAAAACTAAAGTATGTAAAGGAAACATGCACAGAGAGAGAGAGCCACTTCACAGTGTATGAATGTGTGGGTGCGGGCCTGTCGCTTTCCATTCAAATGTACAAAGAAAACCTAGAGAAGGACAAACAGACGGACAGACAGAAAACATTGTTGTAGAAGTAGTAACATATAGCCTCTTTATGGAGTGATATTAGTGCCAACAGAAATTGAATCTGAATTCAATCAACTTGAATTTGTTGGCACTAATATGACGCCATACCTCTTTTTCTGTATTGTGAAAGTACTGTTCCGATGACGTTACACAATTATATTTGGAACTCTGTAATGAAGACAAATATTTTGTCAAATACAATGGTGAAGAATAAGGCACTACAGGTGAACAGATTTAAGTCTCTGGGAAGTTATTTGGGTTGCATGATTCCTTGTGAATGCACTCTATATACATTTGTTACATATCATGTATTAAGAAATAAAATCCAAGATGAAAAGACTTTGTCATGCATAAAGGCATGCTGGCAATTCCATAGGAGATTGCCCCAAAGATATGAAATCCTTGGAAAGGGTACTTTGGGGCAAGGAGGTTTGGTATTACCTTTTGAAGTTGAAATCATTGATTTAAAGTTGGAAAGTTCATGACATTTTGGCTTTACCCAGGCCTTTTGAAGATATGAACCATTTTATACATTTATTTGACATTATAGGCCATTAACCAATCACAGCACTCCTGTAGGATTGCACTGTCAGCAAATCACCAGCAGAGGGTGTTCCCTTTTAATCATTTTCCCCATTAACTGTGTTGTTGGTGTACCAAAAATGTATAATGATTTCAAAAGTAGCAGAGACCACTCTGGAAATGTTATGTACTTGTAGAGTATATTGTTTTTTAACAATATCCTAAACTGAACAAAAGAAAAAAGAAAAGGGTACTTTTGAGATATTTACGATAAGGCCCGGGTATGGCCAAAATGTCATGTTTCATTATTTCTCAATCATTATTTTGGATACAGATTTATGCCAAACATCCTTCCCGAAAATGATTTTTTTATTGATTTCATTTCAGGAAAATCAAAAGCATCAAATATCTTTGGGCCAATCTCGTTTGGAATTCCACATATGTTATAGGCTGCCATATATGTATTGTATGCAAATGATTACTGTGTATGAGCAATGTACAGTATATAGCTTAGAAGAGGAACAGCTTGGATATTCTATATTTAGCACAAGGGATATTTCAGCATTTGAAAATGACCCTCGGTTTTTGGGAGTAGTCCAAAACACTAATAATGTTACGAATGAGGAACCAGGTGCAGGCTAGTTCCCTTTCTTCTTACATTTCCTGATATTTCCTTCTCCTGACATTTTCATTGGTTCTTTGTATTCAACTCCCAACCAATCTCTGTCCAGTTTGCTGCTTTGCTATCCCATACCAGGCTACAATTGGTTAAGAAGATTTGTTCATAGGAATATACAAAGTGCTTTGTCTTGAGTGTTTCTCTGAGGTTACACATGCATACACACATACATACATGCAGGCATACATACATACATACATACATACATACATACATACATACATACATACATACATACATACATACATACATACATACATACATACATACATACATACATACATTACATGTCTTAGTAGTGAAGTCATCCACTTTAACGACTGATGTACCTAAAGACAAGACACGAAGTTTGGTGTACAGATTAATTTGACCACTCCTATTGTTTATCATAGTAAATATGTTGGGAGGGGTTAATATGATCAAAATTCCTAAAGATAAACCAGTTGTACAGCTGTAATACCTCATTTAAAACTATTTAGTCTTTGTTATTGGCCAGTTTTCTGGGGGGTATTTTTCCTTCTCGTTCTGCGTGGGTTACTGGCCTTGTGATATCATGGGCTATTTGCAAGTGTCTCCTTACTTATTTATTTGTAATTTGGCCTTGGAAAATTGTCATGAAAATAAAAGTTGTGATTGGTCTAAAAATGCCCATGTGTTCATTCTGTTTCATTCATAGTTGCTCTGGGGATGTGGATTATTGTTCATCTGGAAATGCCTTTTGAATGAGAATGATTTTGATGTGTCTGTGCGTGTATGTATAACATTACATCACAGAGTGACTCTAACACAAAGGCTTAATTCTAATCGTGTCCCGAAGCGAGTTATATGGCAACGAAGCCGAGGTGTGTGTGTTTGGTGAGTGTGTCGATGTGGAGATGACTGTGGGATGCGTGAGGAATTTACGTGGACAGAACAAACCGTTCCAGATTCCAGGCCCTGGACCAGAGCTATGTGCGCCTATTCTCCTGTGAGTTAGCTAGTCCATATATACAGAGAAACACAGACTAGCCGAGCAGAAGATAGGGCTCTATTCATACGGATTCAATCTGTATCGCTGAAGCGTAATTTCCTATTGAGCCGACTTCTGCAGCGTTTACCGTGAATGCAGTCTCCGCTAATGCGGGAACATTGCCTTTAAATTTCAATCGCGCTGTAATTCTGAATTTCCGCGATACGGATTGAATAGAGTCCCAAGTCTCTCTCGACAGAATCAGAAGACACTAAGGGGAGGGGCTATATCCTGTTCATCACATAACAGAACCACAGGCTCTCAGCCCCCCCCCCCC